AAAAAATGAGGGAAATCCCCAAATTTGTTGAAACCCTAACTTTGTGATTTTGGTTGTAAAGGAGAGATCGAGGAACAAATCAATGTTTATGATAATATTAAGCCAATGTTTAGTGGATATGCTTGGAGACTTTGAGAAAAATATAAATTCTTGGGAATGTTATTGAAATGGTGGATTATTGTGAAAACTCTTGGTAGATTTGTGATGATTTACTTTCTCTATGGACTTAAATTACTATTTTGTATCATGTCAATCGGAACCTTAATTAAATTATGATATTTTACAAATTCATGCATGCATTGCATTGCATCCCATGGTTTTGAACTCATCTTACTTTATTCTCATGGATGTTGAGACATTGGAAAGGGGGTGAATGGCTTAGTAAACTAGGTAGAGAGTCGGTTTTACAAAGGTGTTGAGTATTGTGTTAGTATTCGCACGGGGAGTCAAGGTGTCCAATTGCCTTGTCTCGGGCTTAATACCGGACAAATGTGGGAAAAGATGTTTTCTAGGTGCCCAATTGCCCTTCCAAACTTGATGTCGTAAAATGTGGGAAAAGTGTTGATTTTAGGTGCCCAAATGCCCTTTTGTATTGATGTGATAAATGTGGGACTATTTTTTATATACAAATCCTATCTATATGTATTTGGTTCCTACTTAGGGTTTTCTGGTGCACATTTACTACCCTACATTTGATATTGGTTGATTTTGAATAAGAATGCATGAACATCATTTTAGTAGTAAAAGGCAAGGGATGGGTTTTATCATTTCATTGCACAAGCATAATCTTACTTATATCAAATGCTCATATACTCCGTTAAATGTATTTCTACTGGGCTATTTTGCTCATTCCTATCAAAATAACAATTTCAGGTCAAAATGATGGAGTCCTACCCCATTGAGTTGAAGATGGGACATTTTGGTGGAGCATGGACCCACTTTTTTGTGTACTTTATGTGATACAGCTCTTGAGCTAAATTTTCCTTTTATTTTCTAGTAATCAAGACCCTTGTCTTGAACTGTGTAAGCCCATAAGGCATTTGACTTGTTTCTCTCTAGCTCTTTGAATTACAAATGTTAGTATTTGGTATTTTGAAACAATGTGAATGTAAACGAACACGTAATTCTTTTGGGAAATTTTATGGAGAAAGAGAAGTATTCACTCAACACCTTGATGTATCTTATTTATGTCATCATTCTACGTATTTTTATCCTGAAGAGGATGTGTGTTTCCGAAGAAATTAATATTATTATTGTTTAAAATCGGAGCGTTACCTTCTACTGTCAAACATTTTTCAAATTGTGAGAGATTAGAGTATTTCAAAGTAGGTAATCTAGTCTATACTTGTTTGCTCCATATAGTAAAGATAGTATTAGTAATTAGGTTGTATGATCATATTGTGTTAATAATTCTCATATCAAGAACTAGTAGAGGTTGATCTTGATTGGGTGATTGAGGGTGCTCAATTCATAATCTTCCCCCTTTATATTTAAACTCTCAGATCATATTCTTTAGTTGACAGGCATTGGCTTTTGGCACGAGTCAGAATTTCTTAATTTTCTCAAAAGATTAGGTGGTGACTCCATGTCTCATATTTGATTTATATTTTGCACTTTTGTACGATTAGTGGATTTTCATCAAATATGTTAAGTCTAGACCATTCATTTGTATCTCACATTTCACCTTGGTTATTTCCTTGAGCATGAGACCTGGAGGAGTAGCTAGGGCCTTTAGCTGTCGAGAAAAGGATCGCACACGACATTATTATCATTGTAGCCATTGGTATCATTATCATTTTACTATCACTATCACATTACCGTTATGGTCACTATGGCTATTAGCACCTCCTTTCTACCACCACTACCATAACACTCCAGCTCCACCATTATCACTACCTCTACCATAGCCACTAGTAACATTTTATTACCACTATCACTAAACCGCCAATGTTGTTGTCTCCTATCACCACCACTACACTGCAAGCATCCCTTTACCATTATCACAATCACTATCTCTCCCTCTCCACCACCATCACCATTAGACCATTCATTTGTATCTCACATTTCACCTTGGTTATTTCCTTGAGCATAAGACCTAGAGGAGTAGCTGGAGCGTTTAGCTGTCGAGAAAAGGATCTCACACGCCATTATTATCATTGTAGCCATTGGTATCATTATCATTTTACTATCACTATCACTATCATTATCATATTACCGTTATGGTCGCTACGGCTATTAGCACCTCCTTTCTACCACCACTACCATAACACTCCAACTCCACCATTATCACTACCTCTGCCATAGCCACTAGTAACATTTTACTACCACTATCACTAAACCGCCAATGTTGTTGTCTCCTATCATCACCACTACACCGCAAGCATCCCTTTACCATTATCACAATCACTATCTCTCCCTCTTCACCACCATCACCATTAGACCATTTATTTGTATCTCACATTTCACCTTGGTTATTTCCTTGAGCATGAGACCTGGAGGAGTAGCTGGGGCCTTTAGCTGTCGAGAAAAGGATCTCACATGCCATTATTATCATTGTAGCCATTGGTACCATTATCATTTTACTATCACTATCACTATCACATTACCGTTATGGCCGCTACGGCTATTAGCACCTCCTTTCTACCACCACTACCATAACACTCCAGCTCGACCATTATCACTACCTCTATCATAGCCACTAGTAACATTTTACTACCACTATCACTAAACCGCCAATGTTGTTGTCTCCTATCATCACCACTACACCGCAAGCATCCCTTCACCATTATCACAATCACTATCTCTCCCTCTTCACCACCATCACCATTAGACCATTTATTTGTATCTCACATTTCACCTTGGTTATTTCCTTGAGCATGAGACCTGGAGGAGTAGCTGGGGCCTTTAGCTGTCGAGAAAAGGATCTCACACGCCATTATTATCATTGTAGCCATTGGTATCATTATCATTTTACTATCACTATCACTATCACTATCACATTACCGTTATGGTCGCTACGGCTATTAGCACCTCCTTTCTACCACCACTACCATAACACTCCAGCTCCACCATTATCACTACCTTTGTCATAGCCACTAGTAACATTTTACTACCACTATCACTAAACCGCCAATGTTGTTGTCTCCTATCATCACCACTACACCGCAAGCATCCCTTCACCATTATCACAATCACTATCTCTCCCTCTCCACCACCATCACCATTAGTATCATAACTATCATCATTGCTGGAGCCGACACCATCTCTATCACCATGATCTCACTATTACAACATAAAAATTAAAAAAGAATATTTAATTAAAAGTAATAAAATATAAATTTCATTTTGTACACATAAAAATGATTCATTTTATAATAACACTTAAATTATTATTAAATAAATAAATTTTCACCTTAAATAGTTTAACATTCTATTTTAGATACTTAAATTTTAGATAAATTACAAATACGCCTTCTAATATTTACTTAAAATACAGATTATCGCTTGTAATTCTCAAAATTTTAATCTACCCTTTCAAACTTTTAATCACATAACAAATTACCCATTTTATTAATAAATTATCAAATTAGTTAATATTTTTTAATGATGCCAAAAAAAATATTTTAATTAACTATTTTGATGAATTTATTTTTATATAAGAGAGTAATTAAAAATTTTATTTTTTTTAATGCTATTAAATAATTTTTTTTATAAATTTTAAAATTACATAAAATAATCTATATTTTAAGTAAATTTTAAAAGATAGCTATGGGCAATTGTGTGAAACTATCAGCAAAGTTGGTTATTGATAGCGATTGCCAATACAATGTCCGCCACATAATATTTCAGGATGGTCCAAAATGGAGTCGAAAAGAAACGGAAAATTTGTAAATTAGTGGAGGTCTTCTCAAAATAATGGTAAATTAATTAAATATTTCATTAATTTTAATGATTAAATTCATAATAATTTTTATAAATTTATAATTATTTTGAAAAAGACCTTCAATTTCTCATTAAAGAAAAAAAAAAAAAAATCCCAAATAAAATGAAATTCAAATATAATCCCAACTAATAATGACAATCCTACGCATTAAGGGTTTGTTTAATATGTGAGTTGGTTTTTTAATTTTCTGACTATTTTAGTTTGGTGTTAAAAAGTTTTGTTTAGAATAAGCTTTTTGAGTTTTTTGATTTTTATGAGAAAAAAAATGAAATAATTATGAGTTAGATATAACATTTTGTTATATTTGACTAACATAGCTTATTTTATCTTAAGGGTGTACGGTAAGAACAAATTTAGCATCTTTTAGACTAAAATTCACAAAAAAAGACAAAATATACTAAAATAGTTAATAATATAAAATGTCACATCAGATTCATAATCATTTTATTTTTTCTTTTACAAACATGACATTAAATTATAAAAAAAATCTAGTCCCTCCGTCCCAAAATAATGGCCCCTTTTGGAAATTCAATTTTTTTTAATAATATAATTATTGCATTTTAAAAAAATAAAATTTTCAAAATTACTCTTTGATAGTACATTTTTCGGATAATATCAATGTTATAATTGTACTTTTTATGTTGTTAATCAATTTAAAAGAATGATAAAATAGAAAATTTATATTATTTTTATACTTAATTTTTGAAAAAAAACTAATATTTTAAGACAATAAAAAATAAAATAAAAAACTTATATTTTAAAACAAATAAAATAATTATCTTCTCAAATATAAAAATTTTAACATATTAAAATAATCAAAAATTGAAATAACCAACTCAACTTTTATTCCAAAATAGACGGTGCTTTCCAGACCACAAAGTTTTCCAGCTATATATGTATATATATATATAAAGTAAATAAAGAACGTGCCTTCCTTTCCTGACCACAAGTGCAGATACGTCCTCGGACACGTGTACCTCAATTGCTGGACTCAATAACTCCATCGCTTCCATCACGTTAGGCCACGTGGATTCTGGGTCCCAACGACCCAAAACAGACACTCAACTTTTGTGTCTCCAACCGAGGGGTCCCTGACTGAAGAGAAACCGGTGCTCTTTGCTCATGGTTTACAGAGGAGAAGGAGTCGTCGTCTCTGTTTGTAGAATTTGGAAGCATATTCATTTTGCCTAATATGCGAATTAGGTTTTAATAAGATAGATAATCGCTCTGTGGACTTTCGACGGCGATGGTCGGGTCTATTCTTAAGCTCCTCCTGGTGGAATTGGAATTGGAATTGGAATTGGTCTCTTCTTCTTCTGCGGATTTCTGTTGCGGTTTCTTCAGCTATGTTTGATTGGGACGAGGAAGAGGTAAAACTCATTTCTTTTTTTGGTTTTCAGCTATCCCTTGTGAGCGAGTGTGAGTTTGATAACCATGTTTGATTTACTGCCATTGTTCTGTTATTTATTGCACTGTATAACTAGTTTATGTGTCTTATTTTTTCCATATCCTTGAACAAGTTGAGCATGGAACCTTATACTAATGCAAAAACAAAATTGCTAATCAATTATCAAATTCAAAGAGAGAACAAATACCCAACCTAGGGATTGAGAGAGAGAGAGAGAAAGAAAGCGTCAATTTAAATAAATAAATAAATAATTAAAAAACTAACAAGTATGTACAATTGAGGTGACACTACCTATTTAATATTTATCTATGAAGCACGGATATGGGTATGAGTACTGGTACTGATACGATACGGGCATGTCGATGCGGTAAAATAAAAAAAAAAGAAAAGAAAGGGTATAGGTGCGGCTTGGTACGTTTGTAAAAAAAAATATTTATTTTTAATTTAGAGTAATGCAAAAATTAATTAAATAGTTTAATTTGTTAAGATTTAGCCTACGATTAACATTTAATGTCAAAAGTAAAAGTATAAATCAAAATTAAATGTCAATATATTAAATAACTTACAAACCATAGTTTAATTTTAAAAACATGCTATTTATTGAACTAAAAATAAAAAAGAAGTCTAGTGAAATGAGTTTCATCTCTGTAGTAGAAGAAAATATTATTTCAACTGAGGTACAGTATGGCTTGGGTATGTAAAAATTAAAAAAAAAGTCTAGTAGGTACGTCTGGGTACGCCAAAAATTAAGAAGAAAAAATGTGGGTATGTGTTTCGTGTACCCGGTACGTATGCAGAAGTATCATACAAGATACCATACGTCGGTAAGTACCCAGTACGGGTACGGTATATTTTTCGAAGTACCCATGCTTCATAGATATTTATAGACTACAACCAATAGTATATTTACTAAAACTAATAATACACTTAATATGTTTATTATACTGCATCATCGGCCCTCCCCTCTAAAAAAAAAAAAACTTGTCCTCAAGTTTAAGCAAAGCAATGGAACTTCATTTTGAGATGTAGAGCAAGTGCAAACGTGTAGCTGTGTATCTACTGCATTTTCTTGCTTAAAATTGTTCCTCACGAGACATGCTCCCTTGAATACGTAGTAGAATCTGCAATCAGTCCATTAATACTACTTTTGAAGGGGTTTATGGTTCCAGGCCTTCTAGTGTTTTGGATGTGGTTCCGTTTCCTATCACTAGAAGGGAATTGTCAAGGCGGTGGAGATGGCTGTATTTATGCAACAAATATGTGCTCAAGTAAAGGCACAAATTGAACAATCCAATTCCAAATTCAAAGTTATAGCTGATTTGCATAAATGGAAGGTTGGTTTCAAAGAAGGAGATCTTGTTTGGATGGTTTTGATATGAAGTTGAATGTTAGAAAAGTGGGCCCTTGTCAGGTTTTGTTGAAGATAAATAACAACGCCTATCAAGTTCGTTTGCCTCCACATTTGAACATCTACAACACTTCTAATGTCCAACATTTATTGTAGATTAGTCTTGTATTTCTATTGTCTTAACTTGATGACAAGTTCTGTTAAGGGCAGGAGTGCTGATGTGAGTTAGATGTTAGTTGATGGTTGAGCTAGTCTTTGTCTATAAATAGGTGGTTAGTCTGTTTCCATAACTAACTTTTGAAATTTGAGAATTGTAAATTTAGAGCTTTAGCTCTTGTATCCTAATTTGGAAATCTTTCTCTCTAGAATCCTATTTCTTTTGATGTTTGATTCCATTAAAAAGTTAATGCAACATGCTGAATTTTTTTTAATTTTTTTATAAGTTTTGCAACCACAAAATGACGAGACATTTGATATACTTTGAAGCTTTATGTTTGTATGAAGATAAAAGGAGAGCACCAATTTGGTATCCCCCTCGAATTGCAGCGATGTCAAGTTTTTTGTATTCCTAACAATCCATTTGTTTTGGTTAACTTATTACACACTCTTGCTTATGTAAAGGATAATATAGAAATTTTGGTCATTCTAAAGGGCAATTATATTGACACTGCCATTCTAACTCATTACACTCTAATTTTTTTCAAAAATATTCTTACAATTTTAACCCTCACTAAAATTACTAAAAAAATCCTCAAGCCCTAAAACCTACCATACCAAATTTCTCTCTTCACGCATCATCTTTTCAACCCCTTCACCAGGCCACTGCTGCTGCCGTGCACTGCCACCCGCAACTTCTTCTCTTTTGCCACCACAACTTCTTCTCTTTTGCCACCACAACCACCTTCTTTTCTCTTCTTCATCTTTCTTCTTCTACTTCTAAACCCTAGATTTGAAACCCTCTCTCTCTCTCTCACACCCCCCCCCCCTAGGGCTGCAAGGGTTTGGAGCAGAGAAGATGGGTTGTGGAGGAGAGGAGGATCACGATGGAGCAGCTTTGGAAGAAGATCGTGGTGGAGATTGCTGCGGAGATCACGACGACAAGAGGGAAATTGGGAAAGAGATCACGCTAGAGGAGTGGGTTGGGAAGGACATTGCGGCGGCAGAGGGACTAGGGAAGGTATTGCGATAATGGTTGTGAGTGAGGGTCGCAGTGGAAAGATAACCGCGAAGGTGGTAGTTAGACGGTGTGGGCGGCGACCCAACCCCTCTATTCTTTTCTATCAGCTGCAAGAGAGAGAGACACACAGAGAAAACCTAGAAGGAGAAGGAGGAGGAGGAGGAGGAGAGAGAGAGAGAGAGAGAGAGAGAGAGAGAGAGGTGGGAGGTAGTGGGAGGATAGGAAGGCACTGGGATGGTTGCTGGAGGTGGGAATGGTTGGGGGTGGTGGCAATAGTGGTGTGGTGGGGTTGGTAGAGAATTAGGGTTTGAAAAGTTAAAGGGTGTTAAGAGAAATGAATGTGGTAGGGATGAGGATATTTTTGGTATTATGAAGAGTGGAATGAGAATTTTGAATTTTTAAAAAGAGTGTAATGAGAAAATAGGTGTAATGAGTTGGAATGGTGGTGTAAGTAGAATTACTCCATTCTAAAATTCAAACTTGTATCAGTATCTTATTTGATTGCAAATGCAAAGAAGTGGGAAATTAGTTAGCTATTGTGTTAGGGATTAATGGGTGATAGGAAGAATTGAAGAAGCTTCTCTTAATTAGCCATGTCTACATTTTTCAACTTCTTTCTTTTTTCATGACATTTACTTAAATGTCTAATATATAATTGCACGCGCATCAAATGCACACACACCCTCTAGTGTTTTTCTGACCCCAATCCATAAAAACATAAAGGATCATGAAGTACCTCTCCATAAACAGGCAGCATGTAGACAATTCCCAGAATATATTAGCTGATAATAAAGTGCTTAAAAAACAGCTCACAACTGACATTATTCCCCTAATTCTAATTGATTGTTTTAGGATATCTTTTGCCAACTGATAGAAGATGCATTGACTACTTGGTCATCATAGTTCCTTTCTCCTGTCACGAACTCTGTTTTATTTTCAGCTTTCAAATATAATATGGGGTGAGGCTGGTGAGGCTGATGACCATATTGTGCCTTATACTGAGGGAAGTGATGAGAGACCTCGAGGTTTATATGATCATATAAAAAAGGAATGGAATCATGAAGGTACAAATTCAAAGCCAGCTGAGCAGAAGAAATGTGTTGCTAAAAACAATTACACTGGGGGTAAACAAGAGGGTTCCTCTCAAAATGACACCACTGGGGGAGTTCCTGTGGCAGGATATAGCATGGATCGATGGCCTAATTTGTCTTTATCACATGCTGCTGAAACTGATCAGGATTCCATGGGAACTGACAGTTTAACTGAAATCACCAAATACAATTCCTCTAGGGGTGGTAAGTATGTTAGGTTTTTATGCAAAAGGATTCAAAAGAAAGCCTACAGTGCCGTAATATTCTAATGAATCATAACGAGATACAACTTTTCTACAGATGAGACATATCAAGTAGACAATGGTTCTCAGATTTTTCAGAAGCAGCATGAAGAAAGGGAGCAAACTGATTTTGTTGACTATGGTTGGGCCAACATTGGAAGCTTTGATGATCTTGATAGGATTTTCAGGTAACATGCCATCTTCATATACTTATCTATGCAATGCATAGAGAACCATCATTTTGATATCTGCTCATGGCACATTGACATTTTGATATCAATCAAATTACACTATATGCAACTTTAAAAGTGTACAAGTATGATTTGATTCAACTAGGAAAGTTGGAAATTTGGAATTTCTCAAACCTAAATGCTACAACATTTTCTATATTTTTTGGTGTTTGGTCTTCATTTTATTTTATTTCCAAATATTTCATAGTGTTTCTTCTACTTGGGAAGATAATTATTAAAGTGAAAAACAGAAGCTTTTGAATAGAAAGTTTAGACCTGATCATAGTTTGCTAAGAGAATGCTTAGATAGCTGAGTTTAACTTTGTTTTGTTACTTTTTAACCATAATGTTGTTTTTACGTCCAAGAAAAAATGGTATTTGTTTAACATGCGGTGGAACACTAAGGCGTGTATCGTGGTAATGTCGTGTCATGTGATACACATTTCATTTGAATTTTGTTGGATGTAGGAAGTGTTGGTGTTAAGATTATGTTAATAAACAGATTTATCTCCTAAATTTTGGTTTTAATTTATTTTCTTCCAATTTAGTCATTAAATAATTTTGCTTAATGTTATTGGGATGTGTCTTTCTGATGGTATTAATCTGACACAATATCCTCACAAGTGATATTTTGCAGCAACGATGACCCAATATTTGGACAAGTAAGTCTTGGGAATTCAAATCAGCCATGGTTGTCCTCCAAAAATGTAACTGGCACTCCTGAAAAATCTTCTCCATCATCTATGGATTCTCTACGTTTGGGTTTAGGAGCATCGAGGAGTACATCTGGGCATTTTGAAGTTAAAACAGAATATCTACAAGATCAAGACCAGTTTTTCATCCATGGCTATGGAAAAATGAGCTATCTGACTTCCCATGCTCAGCGGAATGTACATGCAAGTGTTAATCAGGTGGACAATGCTGGAGGTAAAAGTATTTCTGTAGCGAAAGAGAAGGTATGAACATTCAATATGCGTTCTCAGCACCAAATTTTCTCATTTGAATGTTTTTCGCTTAAGTGTGCTGTATCTTTCGACTTTAGCATCTTTTTATTTATTGCTGTATTGATTCAATGAAACTAAGGAATTGGAAGCTATTAAGAAACAAAATCCTATTAAATCATAATTTCTAATTATATTAAAATTCATATATTCTTCAATTTATTTGTCAGCTGATGCCTTCACGGTTTTGTAGACACCCCATTTTGGTAGACATTAATGCTTGGCCCCACTTTCGGAACGTTGCCAGATGATGAAAATGAGAGATGATCCAGAATTCCAAATTTGCCCTACGTGGATGCATCGGGACATTCCCTAGCCTAACCGAACACCCTAATCAACTTCTTTAATACCAATTTGAGCCTTAATGGACCCCAGGGTTTAATTTCTTTCAAAACCCCCTTAACCTTTTTGCGATCCCAAAAAAATGTTTGGGTTCCACATGATATTTTATTAAAAGAAATAATTTATTTGAGTCTTTTTCCTTGACGAAATCCACTATATAAACAAAAGTTATGTGAAAAAATTTGCGAATCCCAAAAAGCCAACGCTATTCTATAGAATTTTCAGAGAGCATTCCAAGGTATACAAGTCGTCAAAATCCAATCTAAAATGAAGATTTGATGGCTGTTTTGTGATCGCTCTTTGATTTTTGACAATTGAGCGCAAAATGGTCTTTTAACAAAAACCACAAACAAAACTTGGATTGGGCATTTTTCATTTGAAAGTCGGCTTATTAAATTGCTGAATAAAAGTATTTTCAAAATATTTTGGAGGCCTAAGCCCAAACATCCCATTTTCAAACTTAAAAACCCTAAAAGTACAGCAAAAAAGAAAACACAAAACTGCATGCACCTGGCCTCCAACGGCCGGAGCTGGACCAGCTGTTGGCCCACTAAGGAGGCTTGTGGACAGCCTGATTAGGGCTGGGTGTTAAGAATGAGTTGTATGAAATTGTCCACTTAGTGAGTGAAGTGTCCTATTAGTTGTACCCTATAAATAGAGTGATGTAATTTCATTTGTACATAGTTTTTAATTGAAGAACATTGATATTGGAATAGAGTCAAGAGCATTGGTTTCTCTCTCTAACCCTTGGGGATTTACCTCTAATTGGGGCATTTGTCTTCACTCTCTCAATTTGATATTGATTTGCATTTTCGATTGCATCATTTGGTATCAAAGCTTACCTTCTGTCCTAGGACTTCCAAATTGAGTTTCCACAATCCACACAGCAACAGTTCTGATTTGAGTTCTGAAGTGCCAATCTGTCTCACACTGTATTGTGTAACCCTAACATGCTTAATTTGCATCGTGAGGTCCAGCATTCTTAGTTGAATTTCATCACGAGTTCTATTTGAGGCTTGAAGCTCTACGACTTTTGGATCAAATTCTGTCATTTCACAACTGAACTCATGACTTTGACTTCACAATTTGATCTTGACCCAATATCACACTGCAATTCGATTCTCACCTTCATGATTCTGACTTGGATTTTGTCTCTATCTCGAATTTAGGTTTTCAATCTCGATCCCGATCTAGATCTGGTCTACTAGTTCAATTTTGATCTAGCAACGACTTTGTGCTTTGAGTTTGCAACTTGATCGAGTGGTGATGGGAGATTGCAACTTGCTTCAGTCGTCAGTTTGACCTTCTTCGAGGTTCGTATAGCTTCAAATCTGTCTCTAGAGTGTTGTGATTTGCCTGATTTGAGTCTTTGAACCCTAGCTGAGTTGATTCAAGCAACGCTGGTATCCGAATGGTCGAAATCTTTCAGATCTCACTCGGAATACTAAGATCTAGTTAGAGAGGCCTTTATTAAGGTTGATTCAACTTTGAATCTCTTGGATTTGAGTTGAACTGCTTCAGATTTGGGTCAAACTGTGTTGGATGCTTCATATCTAAGTTTGACAGGCTATGTTGAAATCTGTTCTTTGATTGATCTGGTGTGACTCTCTCAATTAAGCATTTAAACCATCAGATCTGGTTCACCTAGGCCCGATTCTTAGATTTGTGTGCGAAACTTCTCAAATTTGGTTTGCGTTGGCTCAATTTGACTTCAAACTGTTTGGATCTGATTCGATTTGGTTTCAAACCTCTGCTCTGGTTCGACTTTGGTTCAAATCCCCTTCAGGTTTGGATCAAGTTGATTCAGATCCTTCAAGTTTCTGGATCAATTGATTCGAAATTTGTCTGGTTTGGCTTGATTCGATAGGCTGGTTTGAAACGTTTTCCTTGGTTTCATTGGGGTCTTCAGATCTCTGTTTGAACAGGCCTGGTTGAAGTCCATTTTGGTTCAATTGGGTCAAATTTGAGTTGATTGGATCGATTTGTCTTGCGTTGAACTCAATTTGTGTTCAATTGCTTCAGATTGCGTTGATTTGGCTCCAATTGGTGTTCCATTTGACAAATTGTATTGATTGCTTGGCCCATTGTGAGAGCTTCTCTTTGCATTTGTTATAGCTCACAGAGGTCGAAAAGACGGGGACAAAATCCTTTTGGTGATTTGTTAATTTAGGTTGTTTGTTGTTTGTTATAATGTTTGGGATCAAACCACTATTGATTTGGTAATGTGCACTATATTGGATTGAATCAGTAGTATGATTGCATCATTAGTGATGTGGTCCTATTAAATTTTATTTTATTTTATTTTATTGCATTTTTTCCTTAAACAAAAAAAAAAAAAAAAAATTTAATTTAATTTATTTATTGTCATGTTTTATTTTAATTTATTGTAAGAGAATGCTATAATAAAATAGTTTAGGGATTCTTTTTAGTCATTTTACAATCATTGGAGGCCACATAATTTTTAGGGTGGTGATTGAATTATTACTACTAGTTGAATCTTTAAATTAGGGATTTTGTTATTTTCCCCATTTTCCTCGTTCCCTTATTATGTGGATGGTTTTATTTTATTTTCGTGGATGGATTTTGTTTACTGAACAAATGCTTTTAGTTTGTTTCGTTGCTGTCGTGGCTAGATTTATTTATTTTCTATATAGCTTAATTAAAATAAAATTATGATTAGAGTTCTTGACTTTTTTTCCCCCCAAATTCAATTCGGGCTCCTTTCTTTTTTTATAAAAAAAGAACTTGGACGTTTTCCTTAAAAAATGTCACACATTCATTCACTATTTTAAACCCTTTTTATAAATTATACAAACTTCTGTCTTGGGTGAGATGTCATTTTTGGATCGTCTTATTTCCTTGCCAGGCTATCTTATGGGTGTTGTATATTACTGTCATCATGCGTTTTACTTAATAGTTTTAAAATAAAGAATCAAGAGATGATGAGTAGAGGCCGATCTTGTATCAGACAGAATGGGTTCCTAACCCTTTCTCATTTTGTACCTAAGTTTTTGAGCCAAGTTATTTGGTGATGAAAGACTAGTCCCTTTTATTAGTGGAGTCATTATAGGTTATTGGACCTTTAAAATCAAGTGGCGGCTCCTAGTTTTTGAACTTTCGATTGATGGTCGGGAATCAATTTTGTGGGCTTCGGAATATGGCGCTATTTGAGTATTAGTCATTGGTTTGGTCCTTTTTTGATGTGGGCATAAAATGCAATTCCAAGCCATTGTGCTTGTAGGGGGCAACTCCACTGGCTAAGAAGCACGAACACTTCTAAGAAGGTGACGTATCTATGTCATGTTCATGTCGGAAATGGCTGTTCTAGTGCAATGGATTTAAGTCTGAAAATGGCTTCTCTTCTCCCTTTTGCCCCCTTTCTTCCTAGGGTTCATAGACATGAATTAGCTTCCAAACCCACTTAAAGAACGTAAAGAAAAATGCATCCTATCTTCTTTTTGAATCAAAACACCAAAACAAAAACTAAATCTCCAAGTTTTAATCTTTTGCTTCCTTTTCTTTTCATTCTCAACTTCTTCTTGCAAAACATGATTTCAAGCCATTAAATCTATGGAATTCAAGGGAACACATGATGATGAAGGTCTATATGTATCAAGAACATCATAAAGAAGATAAAATTCACACTTCTTGGGAGCCCTTTCCTTAATTTCCATCGTAGTTCAATCCTTAACATTCTTTTCCTAACTTACCCAATTCTAAACCAAAGCAATCCTAATTTCTTCTTGATTTCAGAGGTTAAAGGGTGATTACTACAAGATTTTGTTAGAATATATCAAATAGGAAATAATATTTGCTATTTTTTATTCTTATTTGATTTTATTTTCCCTTGATTAATGTAATGGGCTGGCCCATAATTTGTGCATAATGGCACTCCTGTAATTACATATTATTATCAATATAAGAAAGGATGAGGTCTCACTCATTCCCTATCTTTTTCTCTTCTCTAAACTTACATGGCATTGGAGCCAAAACCCTAGCCCATCCCTCCTTTACTTTTCTTCGCTTCTGTTAGCAATCATCCATTCCTTTAGCACCATTGCCGGCAGTCCTTTTTCACTTAGGAGCACTGTTGGCAGTCCTTTTTTTCTCCCAGCAGTCCAGTCAGCCACTGTAGACTTTCACCTAGCCCATCTCCGTCTTCAGTAGTTCCTCCTGGGCTCCCCGACAGCCTATTAGGCTTAGTCGGCAGCCCTCTGGCCTTTTAGGGGCCTATTGGCAGCACCTCCGGCCTTCTTGGCCTCTAGCGGCATCTCTCTTGCCTCCTAGGCCTCTGTCGACTCTCCCTTTGTCGGTCTTCTCTCTTCTTCGCTCTTTTCTGTCATGTTTTTTACTTAAAACAACTCTTAAACATTAAAAAAATAAATAAATTATTTTTCAATTTTTTATGATTTTTTTTGTGGTCATATTGTTTACTATTCCTCCACCTTCTTCTTGGTTTGTGATTGACACTGGGTTTGAGGGTTACTTAGTAGAATATCCATATCAGATTCTACTAGTGAGTTAATAACTTCTCAGCCGCCTAAGAGCGAGAGTCCCCTTATACCTTTTATTATGATTGATAATCTCAACCTTGGCCTTAAAATCACCACTTCTCTATTCAATGGTCAGAATTATATAGCGTGGTCGCAGAGTTTGACTATTTTTTTTGAAGAGTATAGGGAAGATGAGGTATGTTAATGGCAGAATACAAGCGCCTAGCATCATGGACTCGAGTTATGATCAGTGGGAAATCACCAACTCTCTCATCATGGGTTGGTTGATCCACTCTATGGTCCCTGAGATTGGAGAGGGCTATTTGGCTATGGACACTGCACAAGCTATCTGAGAGGCTGTTGCTACTACTTATTCCCGGAAGGGGAACTTCTCATAGGCTTTCGAGTTATGTCGCTTCATTGAAAGGTCAGAACAAGGTGAGATGACTATCCTCCAGTATTTTACCTTCCTTAACAATGGGTGGAAGCGGCTTGATTTCCTTTAGGATTACAAGCTTGTCTGTCCCACTGATTTTATTAGTTACTGGAAGCTTGTGGAGCAAGAATGGATCTTCAAGTTTTTGGAAGGCCTGAATGTGGTGTATGATCCGGTTCGGAGCAGAGTGCTTGGCATGGACGTGCTTTCTTCTCTCCAGGAAGCCTTTGCTTTTGTGCAAAATGAGGAGAGTCGCCACTCTGCAATGCTTCCTTCTGCCACTACTAATTGCTTTGCCTTGGTTTCTATACCCCCTCAAGATGGAGAGTGTGTGCCTCGAGGTTCTCGTCCTTCCTCTGAGAAGGATAATCTTTTCTGTGACTACTGCCGTACACCTAGACACACACAAGGGACTTGCTGAAAGCTGCATGGGACTCCTGGTGGCCGAGGGGCCAATGAGGGCACATTTTTCTGATACGGTTGAGCCACCACCTTCAGCTTCTGTTGCCGCTTCTGTTGCCTCACCGGCTACTGATGTTTCTGGGTTGTCTGCCTCAGAGTTTGAGATTGCTCTTTGCTACTTGCTAGATCGTCGAGCCTCTACTACTGTCTCCGCTGCATCTTCTTCTTCCTTTGCCAACTCAGGTAACTTAGCTTCCTCTCCCAGTGCATTACTATCTCATGTGACTATTCCTTGGATTATTGATTCAGGTGCTTCCGACCAAATATTTGGTTCCTCTAGTTTGTTCTCAGAGTATACACCCTCCCCAGGTCAAGAAAAAGTGCGTATTACTGACGGTACTATTTTGTTTTTGTCATGGAAAGATTTAATTCATGCCACCTCTTCCCTTTCTTTAGTCTCTATACTCCATGTTCTCAATTTTAATGTTAATCTGTTATGTTTGAGTCGTATTACTCGTGATTTGAATTGTAGCGTGATTTTTTTTCCTGATCACTGTCTTTTTCAGGACCTTATCACGAGAAAGAGGATTGGTAGTGGTAGAGAGGAACATGGTCTCTATATTCTAGATCATATTGACAAGCTGACTCATTCATCTATTCAGTTACCCTCCACCAACGAAGACCTTTGGCTGTGGCACCGTCGCTCAGGACATCCTTCTTTTTTACTCCTTAGGCATCTTTTTCCTTTTGTTTTTGCGCACAATAATGTGTTTGATTTTCAGTGTGAGTCATGTCAACTTGGAAAACAATATAAAGCTTATTTTGTCCTTCTATTAATAAAAGCTCAATTCCATTTTCTTTGATTCATTCTGATGTATGGGGTCCCTCACGTTTTGTCTTTAAAAGGTAAAAAATGGTTTGTTACTTTCATAGATGACTGTTCTAGAGCCACTTGGGTATATATAATGAAAGACAAGTGACGTGTTTTCTGTGTTTCAAAACTTTCATAGAATGGTTTGCACTCAGTTAGGGGCAGTTGTAAAATTTCTTCATTCTGATAATGGAGAGGGAGGGGGGGGAATATATTGACTCTGGTCTTGCCAGTTATTTTTCCACCCATGACATTATTTACCAAACCTTTTGCACTAATACTCCTCAATAAAATGGCGTTGCAGAACGGGAAAATTGCCATCTCCTTGATGTGGCCTGGTGTATATCCTTTGAAATGCGTGTCCCTCAATCATATTGGGGGGAAGCGGTTCTCATTGAAGCTTATTTGATTAATCGTCTTTCCACCCAAGTACTTCAGAAATGAACCCCTCTTTAGGTTTTGTTTGGGTCTACGTCTTCTGGGTTCTCCATTCCTCCTAGGACCTTTGGATGTGTTTCTTTTGTCCATAATCATTCATTTACTCGTGGTAAATTGAATCCTAGGTCTCTTAAGTGTGTTTTCCTAGGTTACTCTGCCACCCAAAAGGGTTATAAGTGTTATCATCCGTCATCTCGCAAATGGTTTGTCTCCATGGATGTCACTTTCTTTGATTCGCAGCCTTACTTTCCCACCTCTCCAGTGTCCCAGTCATCCCTTCAGGAAGATTCTTGGTGTGAAGAGATTCTTGTGCCACTACCACTAGTGATAGAGGATGTTGAGCCAGCAATTGTTGTGGAAAAGGAAGAAAACAAAGTTTATGTCAGGGACAAAAATAGACAGAAAGTCACTTGGATGCAAGAGACTACTTTCCCTCCTCTATTGCTAACTTCTTCTCTGAATGAGTGTCCAGAGTCATCCCCCTCCTGAGAGTCTTTGTAATTCTAATCCTAATGCTTCTATTTCTGAGTTCTCAGATCTTGATGTTCCCATTGCTAATCGGAAGGGGGTTAAGTCATGTACTCAACATCCTATTACGAATCACGACTCTTATTCTAATCTATCTCTTTCATATACAGCCTTTCTATCTAAAATTTCTTCTGTGAGTCTGCCTAACAATTTTCACGATGCCCTCTCCATTCTTGAATGGAAACATGCCATGATGGAGGAGATGAGAGCCCTCAGCAAGAATGGCACTTGGGGGTTAGTGGAGTTACCTAGAGGCAAAAATCTAGTTGGGTGTAAGTGGGTGTACACTGTGAAACACAAAGTAGACAATTCCATTGAACGGTACAAAGCAAGACTGGTTGCTAAGGGCTTCACTCAGACTTATGAGGTAGGTTATCAGGAAACATTTTCACCAGTTGCAAAGATGAACTCTATGAGAATGCTACTCTCTCTTGCAACAAATTTGGATTGACCACTTTATCAGTTTGATGTAAAGAATGCCTTCCTTCATGGAGACCTAGAAGAAGAGGTCTATATGGATATTTCCCCTGACTGTGAGGATGCTAGGTCCAAAGGTAAGGTGTGCAAGCTTCGGAAGTCATTTTATGGCTAAAGCAGTCCCCTAGGGCTTGGTTTGAAAGGTTTGCTCGAGCTATGCTGAGATATGGGTTCAAGTAACGTCAAGCTGATCACACCTTATTTGTGAAACACTCCTCACATGGTAAGACCACAACTCTTATCGTTTATGTTGATGATATTGTTCTGACAGGGGATGATGGTGAGGAGATCCCTCGGTTGAAGGAACACTTAGCCAAGGAGTTTGAAATCAAAGACTTGGATAATTTGAAGTATTTTTTTAGGCATTGAAGTAGCTCGGTCTAAGGATGGCATCTTCATATGCCAGAGGAAGTATGTGCTTGACTTCCTAAAAGAAACTAAAATGCTTGGAAGTAGACCATGTGATATACCTTTAGAATCGGGGCAGAAACTAAGTGAGGATCAAGGGGGAGATCCAGTGGACAGGGGAACAGTGAGCATGGTTAGCCAGTTTATGCATGCTCCTAGACATTCCCACTTAGAAGTAGTTATGAGAATCTTGAGGTACCTAAAGTCTCTCTTTGGAAAGGGTCTCTATTTTTCAAAACAGGGACATCTCAGTGTGAAGGCATTTATTGATGCAGATTGGGCTGGATCAGTCGCTGACAGATAATCAACTTCTGGATATTGCACATTTGTTGGAGGCAACCTAGTCACATGGCGAAGAAAGAAACAAAATGTGGTTGCTAGATCTAGTGCTGAGGCAGAATTTAGGGCTATGGTTTAGGGTGTATGTGAGTTGCTATGGATTAGATTATTGTTGGGAGACTTGAGGATACATCAGACTGATTCCATGAGGTTGTATTGTGACAACAAGGCGGCGATCGACATAGCTCATAATCCAGTTCAACATGACAGAACCAAACATGTGGAGATTGATAGGCACTTCATTAGGGAAAAGTGTTGACATATTATAATCACCGAAAGGCACTTAGCATATTATACTAGCCGAAAGTCTCTAAGATTTGTAATCATTTTTTACGCACTCAGGGATCATCTTGTAATTGTCTTCTTTGTAAATCCTAAATCTTCATTTATAAATAAGGGGTGATATCTCATCATACCCTAAGCTGGTTACCCAAGCTTCATGATATCAGAGCATCACCTCCAGGGCTAGGGTTCAACGCATACCTAGTTGGATCATCTGCTGAATCGATCTTCTGCCATCATCATCATTCCGCTTCTTCTTCGCCTCTGCCATCATCATCATTCCGCTTCTTCTTCGCCTCTGCCATCATCATCTGCTTCGTCTTCGTCTCAGCCCGTCGATCTTCTTCCGCAGTTCGTCGCTCGTCTTCATCAATCGCAGTTCGTCGATCTTCATCGCAGTTCGTCGCTCGTCGAGCTTCTCCCGCAGTTCGTCGTTCGTCTCAGCCCTCGTCCTCGTCGTCCTCTGATCTCAAACCAAGGTGCATATAATATATATATATATATATATATCCTGATATATATATATAACTATAGCCTGATATATATTTATATATAAATACATGTATATATATAACTAACTCAACATATAAAAACAAAAAAAAACAAAAAAAAAAAACAAAAAACAAAAAAAAAACAAAAAAACAAAAAAAAAACAAA